GCCGCCAGGGCGTACCATACTGTTTTGAAAACAGTACAGGTTTGCTCCGTGTGGTCATGCTGCAAGCCCCCATCCGAACACTACGTACCCATGTCTCCGTTTCGCCGCTCGCTCGCTCGCTCCCGCTCTCTCTCTCTCTGTCTCTTTTCTCTGTCTCTCTCGCAAAAGCACACGAACTCACCGCAGCAGCACGTGCCAGGTGGCTTCACATACACGCCCCTGCCGTGGCTAGCGAGGAAGCTTTCTGTCGCCGGCAGGCATCCGGGCCATTTGCAGCGACATCCGAGCAGGCACCACCTGCTACAGTGCGCGAGGACTTGCATCTCCTAAGGGACCTGCCGAATCGACAAGTTCGACAGCTAGGGATTTGAGTGCGCTTCTGCTGCCGAGGCTGAAGAGGCATGCGAAGGTTTGGAAAGCTATTGGCAGACAGCTCTCACAGCAAGGCCCCGTGGCCTGAAGCCAATTTCCACGTTCCTGGTGCCAGAGAGGTTGTACTGACCGTCCATGGCCGCGAGCTTCTCATGCGAAAGGCTTTGGCCATCTGCCAAAGCATTGATCAAGTGATCCAGAATCAGCATCACCTGCTGCGCTTTGAGAGACATGATCTGAAGATCCTGGGGCGTTTCCACCAGCCAGCGGTTTGCCGCTTGGCGGCTCTCCTCGAGCAAGGTCTTGTCAACGTGAGCCGTGAGATCGAAGTCGGGGATCCCTTCGCCATGCAGCCAAAGCTCCCAGTCAACTTGCTTTAGCTCGCCCACCCCTTTGAAGAACTCTATGAAATGAGCCTTCATGTCACTTGTCTGGATACTGCGACCACGGAACTTCTGGATATAAGACTGCAGATACTTTGTCATAGGCTCCTCTCCTCCCACGAGCTGCTCCAAGTAGAACAGAAACAGCGAGCCTTTCTCATATGGCACTCGCGAAAACGCGTCATCTGGGTCAATATCGTCGATGTCGGGTTCCAAGCGCGTCAACCCAGAGCTGCCCTGCTTGTTCAACATGTCGACGGTCCTAGGAGGCTTTAGGGAAGGTCCCTGCTACCGGAGCTTAGAGGCCAGCCGAATCAGCTAGCACCCAGCTGGTGAGACTTCTCCCAAAACTTTGCAGATTCAGCAGAAGCAACTTGACGAGGTCGTTGTACCCAACCAGGAGCAGGAGGCCGCGAAAAGCAGCGCCGTGAATGTTGCCTTCAAACAAGGCGTCACGATTGAAGACGGCATGCTCGAGCCATACACGAAAGCAGAAAAGCTGCTGGCCAAAAACCAAGTTGCCCAGGATTCTCCGCTCGATATAACGGGTGAAGCCTTCATTCAGCCAGAAGTCCTTCCAGTAAGCATTCGTCACCAAATTCCCTATCCATGAGTGAACAATCTCGTGTGCCAGTGTGGTTGTGAGGCTTCGGTCGCCAGGAATCAATGAAGCACTCAAGAAGGTGCAATTAGGGTTTTCCATGCCCCCATAGGCAAAAGAGGAGGGCAACACCGCCATGTTATAGCTGCCCCACTCATACTCTGCACCACCAATCACCCGTTGAGCGGTCTCCAAGAATTCGTCCACGATTTCGCTGAATTCCTGCCGGGCTGCCTCCATGATGGCTGGCTCAGCGTAGCAGCGGCTACGCTTCCCGATGACTCGAGATTCAAATTCTGCTACAATTACAGCAATAAGGTAGGACATCACGGGAACCTTCTGTGCGTACGTGAAGGTGCGCAGTCCATCTGCTTCTGTGGGTTCCCCCACTGGCTCTCCGGATGCCACAGCCATAAGCGGTGCTGGCACCGTCACGCTAATCGAGAAGGTGGCCTTGACAGAAGGGGTGTCCTGGCAGGGAAGAAGTGATCGCCCACATATTGCCTGGCTTTGTGTAAAACATAGTGGATGCTTCTTGCCCGTGGTCTGCTCCCTGGTTAGCCACTGAATTGCCGTGCTCTTTTCCGTTGTCTCATAGCGTACGCAAATCTTGGATCGTGTGCCTGGAGGTAGAGTCACAAACAACGCCTTTCCAAACTTGGCTTTCGATCCATCAGGAGTCTCCACACGCCACCCCACCTTAGAACAATGTCTGACATTCAGGGCATGCAGTACAGGGGAGCACCGGGGTGGGGCATGTTGTCCAACGACGCTGCAAGTAAGAGGAGGAGCCGGCTCGCCATCCTCGTCTGTGATGCTATGTATGGCCTCAGCACGAAGTCCGCGGTCCACTACTGCTGGTACTGGATGCTGCGTTGATTCATGTCTCGGCGAAACCAAAACTCGTGCCAAATCTATCCACGGCTCCAAATCGAGGACATCAAGAACGACGTCGCATACCCCAGGCTTCAGCTTGTCAACAACAAGCTTGCACTCACCGGAGAACAACTGCCGCTGGAAGTCAACTTTGAGGTGGAGCTCCAGGCCTGGGGCAGAGAAAGATTTCACGCAAATTGGGCGACCAGCCAAGTACCAGGAATCTCTTGGACGCAGGCTTGTCACCAGCGCCTCCCAAAAGTTAGCCACAGAGTGTGGGCACGACACTGAATCCTGCAAGCCATTTCGTGGTCAAAGGACTCCGACTTGCTGCATGGATCCAGTCACCACATTGACGTACCGATATGGGGCAGAGCTGTGCCAAGGCCTGCCGTGAAGCTGGCTTCTTTGCGGCGATCTTCGCTGTCGCCGGGCGCTTCACGGCCGCTGTCACCGCGACTGCCGCAGGCCGCTTCTTTGGCGCCATGGGGCGGCGGCTAGGGATGCAGGTTGCCGAAATGCGAAGCTGGAGCTGCTACAGTGATCTACAGCATTCGGCACCTCCGCACCAGTAAGCTGAGAAGACTTGACGAGCAACTTAACAACTGATATTGTTTGCTGACTCCACAGAGATCTTAAGGTCGATTTTAGTAAGGATGTTCGCGCCGATATCCTCGCGAGACTGGCTGCACGGCTGCACGTGCGACTCGCCATGTTTAAAGCACCGACAATGCACCGAAAGCTAGCAAACAACAAATCTGATGGGATGTGCTGCTTGCCTTCATATCTCTTGTCTGTGACTCCACCGATGGTTACCCGGTGTAGCAGATGCAATCCAACACCATCATGACCACTGCTGTCCTTCCACTGTCTCGCCCCGGCCTCTGCAGTTTCAGTCGATGGCGCAGTCAGGGAAGCCTCGAGACATAAACGAACGGCTTCAACGAGAAGCTACAGAGGATTCAGGAGACATGCTCAGCGTACGCTCAGGGAAACAGCCAGCTCAGCCGGAGTAGCTCAACTATGTCTTGCAAACGTTGTGAGGCTCTGGAACGAAGGTGCAGTGACAAATTGACAAACTCCACAAGATGGTATTGAATCCCTACGCCTGCGCAGCAGGTTCGACGAAGTCCTTCACAAGCTCATGCAGGCGAGACCTGCAGGGTCGCAAGCGGAAGCCGCAGCTAAGAAAGTTTCTGAGGGGTGCCATGGATTCGGCACGCACTTAGATCTATCCTATCCGGACAGAAGGACAGTGCCCATGCTGATCTGAAGCCTATGAACGGCGCGAAGCCCTCTTTGCTGAGGCGCATGCTTGGGGAGCTTCAGATTTCGTCCTAGGCCCAAGTCAAGAACCTCGAAGCACTTCACTTAAATTCGAATGCAGCGTGTCATCCAAAACACAGCTCGAATGCCGGCCGAGTTCTTGACCGCAAAGATAGCAGCGATGCCAGCACCAACTGCGGGAACGGCAGGCGAACCTGCTGCCAGCTGCAGGACCTGAACCCAAAGACCATCCACTGTCCACGTAACATGCGACTTGATGGACTAATCTGCAACAGCACGAACAATCATCGAGGAGACAAACAGCCAGAGCATTTCAGGCGGCCTCTGCCTCCGAAAGTCCGCGGAAGTCCATTCCTCTTCCGTGGCTTCGTCCCATCACAGAAACTCCCAGTAACGGCTCGCCGGGCTAAGGTACCGGCTCCAGATTGGGTATCCGTGGCAGAGCAGGATCTCCTGACCTGTGTGCGCATTCCTTACAGAAAGCAAAAAGGGCCCAGAGCTTGCAAGAGCCGGGCCGACCAAGGCCCTATGATGACTGAAGGCATAGTACTCGGGCCTCAAAGAACTTGACGAAAGGTAAAGACGTCCAGAAACCCACTTTGAGCTGGAGACCTGTCGGTGGTGGCTTTGCTAACCTTGCAGGCTCGGCCAAAGCAGTGCGAACGGCAGAATCTTGCAACTAAAGGCATCTCTCCCACTTGCATCCTTGTCGGCGACATTTCCGCCAAGAGGCTTGGCTCGGCCGGGGCAGGAGTCCGTCATCTCTGCGTCCAATCGGCTGAAATCCTCCGAGCAGGCGGCAATGGCGGGCAGGGGAAATACTCGTGGCCTCGCCTTGAGAAAGGTCTGCGCAGAGGTTTGAGATGTCCTGTCCACTCTGCCTGCAGCGCCTTGGCTGAACTCTTCACAGGCATCACCCAGCCGCGTCGGAATGGGTTCCAGACTCGTAAATAAGATTGAGGACGACCACCTCCAGATCTCAGAATCAGCTTCAGAGGATTCAAAAAAGAACAAAGTGTGTTGTGGTTGTAGGCCGGTGAAGGCTCCTAGGACGAGAAGGATCGGGTGTCGTCTGCCACTTGCAGTGCCCATTCAAACCAGCGTTCCACGAGGAGGATCTACACTGGTAGCTGGTAGCCCGGACGACGTTCAACTTGTATGCATTAATCAGCTTCTGGCCTGATAGATCCTTTCTACTTCTTTTCCAGCTGCCCGATCATTTACATGACGTCTTCTGGTCATGCATTCGGAGAAGCGTGTCTGGGAGCTCCCTTCCACAAGCCCGCACTGCTCAGGATCTCGTGCTGGGTCGCTTGGATAGGCGACGATGACAGAGCGGCCTTGTCGGGTGCTGCCTGCTTGAGCCATTTGTCCCGAGGCGGCTTCGAACCTTCCCAGGCTCCGAACTCTGAAGAGCCACACTGATGCTCGCACTGCGCCTCTGAGAAACTCGGTGTATCGAGCCTGCCAGCCAACCCAGTCTGAACACCGACGGAAACGAAGTCGAAGCAGAGCTCCGTGCATCACCGGGTTGAAGTCCCAACTCTCGAGCCTTCGCAACATCTTGCTCATCGAAACGCGAGCAAGCGCTTTCTTCTTGAAGGGTATGCCTCAACTGTCAGCTGCCGGGTGTTGCTCTTCGGCGCCTTCCTTTCCATCACCCGAACACACAACTCACGTCATCACACATGAACATCAGGATGGTTCTTACTTGTAGCAAGGCCTGCGACCGCCAGCAGCCCGCTCAGCCTTCTCCAGTTGCTTCGCCTCCCTCACACCATTCACCTTTGATCAGCTTCAGACGGAAATGACGAACAGCCTCTTGGATTCATGTCCCGTTGGGACGCTCACCACACGTGGGTCCTCCTCCGGCAACATCAAGGCACCCACCGTACAACTTGGCAGCCTGAGAGGCTCCATGGTCCACACAAGCTCTGCCGCACAGAAGCTTCCTGCAGCCACAAACAGCCTTGATCTTGCTGGGAAGTCGGCAGCTTTCGCTCGCCCGGCAGCTTCAGCTCCCCGATTGCGTGCATAAGCTTTGCTGCTGCATCAGCAGCTTCACGGCCGCCACAATCAGCCCGGATCAATCTGCACCAGCATGCGCGAGAAGAACTGGCAATCGAGTTCTACTCGTAGCTGAGGCCCTGGCATGATAAACGCATCTGGCCCAGCAAGGGGAACCCCAAACTTCATTAAGGGCAGCTCGACAAAGGCCGCGCCATAGTTCTGCAGGCGGCTGAGACCCCAGTCAACCTTGAGGCCGCAAGCCGACGAGAGCATCTTCTGAATTCAAGAATTCAACTCAAAGCAGGCGCCTGCCGATCCTCGGAGTTGCGTGGGTCTTCACCTTCCATGAGGAAGCTGTACACGGACGGCCGGGAAGCCTGCCGTGGCATCAAGTTGTACTGAAAGCTTTTAACCGCTTTACTCTGCGCCTCTGGCAAGAGATGCCAACCCTCACAATGAAGCAAGCAACCACGAGGTTGTCGGAGACCCTGTCCGTGGATCAATCACTCGCAACTACCCAGGTGAAATCTCTAGCTAAATGCCAACACCACCGAGACCCCAGCCAAATGCGAGCGAACAGAGAGGAATGTTGCTGATTTTGGATCATCAAAACAACTAGGCCTCGGCGGCTTGTGCGAATGAATTGAACTGTTGACCGAAACCCAGCGGGCCACAAAATACGTTTAAGGTCCTGGCTTTGATGGATCCAAATTCAGGAACGGCCTCTGGCCAAACTGGAGAGGTTCTGGACAGCATGACTGATGATTGCCGGTTCAACTGCAGTCAGGCCACTCGCAAGGAAAACTCGCAAATAGGAAATCCTCCAGACCCAAAGCATTGAGAGTGTGTGTGCAAGAAAGCGCCCACATCCTAGGCCAAACGTACCCAGGCCTGATTCTCCGTGCGAGTGGACTTACATGCCTTAAGCTTGAGACGGTTTGGTCTCCGCACATCAGTAGAAATCCAACGCTCTTTTTGGGGGGCCTGAGGGCCGAGCTTTATGTTGTACTTCACAGTGGCCGGACCTTCAAGTGCCGGAAGAACTCTGGAGAGATTTCAACATGTTTGCGCTTGGCTCCAAGCCCAGCAAGCGCCGCATTCAGATCGCAAAACACGTGCTGGGGCTTGCAGGTCCGCTTCAACAAACGAAGGGGTCCCGAGGCACCTGCGTTCGCACACTTGCAAGTTAACAATACCAGAATGAAACTCCTTCCCAAGCCTGACACATGGGCTGATGAGATTGTGAATGGGGCGACTTCACTCAGGAACTCCTCGGGGGCACTGGCTGTGCATGGCATAGCATGGCAGTTGTCAACTCAGACGACAGATGAATTGTCCTGCAATGCAATGCCCGCGCAAGTTGCATTTCCACAGATGGTGACGCTCAGTTCATGCGCATCATCCACCAACTTGCAACCTGGGTCTTTGCATTACAGTACAGTCGGAGTTTAGCTCACAACATGCATCTGCCAGTGGCCCAAACTGGAGTCGTAGAGGAGTCGGCGCAGGCTCCGTGCCCATTCCCCGGAAGGCCTGGCTCTCGCATCCCCTTTTCGCCCTTTGCCTCTCAAAATACGTCGATGACTTGGGTCAAGGCCATGCGGCCGAATCTTGCTCGGCTCGCAGTACTTCATCCACCTGTTCATCCTCCAGGGACACAGATCCAGGCAAGGAAGGTTTCAAGGACACCTGCCTCATCCACCTCATCATCGCTGTCAATAGCAATCTGCTCCTTCGGACGTCATTCTCGGCTCTTCATGCACCAATGCAAACTACGCCCAGACGAAAGATCACTCCTGAGCCGCTACCATGTTCCGCGGTGCCTTTGCGACTTTCTTGGCCTGTGCCTGCTCAGTTGGCGGAGTCGCACCGGGCAGGACAAAAGCATTGCTTCTTCAACTTTAGGTTGCCTTCTCGCCCTCTCTCTCCCCCTCTCTCTCTGTTCTCCTGGGGGTCCTCCTTCGTTGTGCACAGACTTTGGTAGTCCTGCGCTTGACAACACTGGATGTGACTCACCAAATCGGGAGTGCTGGAAGCATCGGTTCCATTTGCTTGGCGTCCTCGCCCGGCAGCATGAAGCCGGATGTTTCAAGTGTATCCTTCGTCTCTGGCAGCATGGTCAGCCAGCCTGCGCTATACTTCATGGTCTGCCCCTCATGACTCATCATCAACCCAAGTCTATGCGATGTTGCGTCTAACACCACCGGACCGATGCCCAGCACAACAGGCCTTTGCGCGTGAAGTACACGATGCTGATGCGGGAGCCTCGACTGACATGCACTGGACTCGAAGCTTGGCGTGGTGATGAATCTCAGAAGCCGCAAGCCTTGATATGGCATGGTCATGTGCGGCGTGTTCCCATCGAACTTCAGCCACTTGTTGCGACAATCCTCGAGCCGTCCAGGGACTTTCTGCCCTGGCCTCCGAGCAAAGGATCTCGCAAAAAAGGACTAAAAGCAGCTGCTTGCGGATCTGCCTGAGATGACTCCAGCCGCGTAGAGTACACGGCAGTTCCATCTCCACCGTTCCATTTTCGTCGTAGATCCAAACTTCACCACCCTTGTAATCACCTAACCTCGAACGACATCAGTAAAGAATCCGATCTTGGACAGAAATCAACATGACACTGGCCCTGTCAAGCATTGGACAGCTAGGATCATGGCCCTATGATGAAGCTCGGTCCGTGATTGTTGGCATCCTTTGGGCAAGCACACGGCAGCTTTTGCACACCCATCTCAAGCGGCTCTGCTTGGGGCTTGTAGTGGCAACGCTGCAAAGCTTTACATGTCAGCACTGGGCTCTCCGCTACATGCATCTTCGTGGCATAGTTCTTGTTCAGCTGCCTTGGTCGTGCCAGTATCGAAAGTTCGCAGCATTGAAGTGCAACAGCACTCCAAGGGCCCCGGCATCGTTGTGTACCTGAAGTCTGGCTGCTCCTGCTGGATGAACTTGGCAAGAAGCTTGGTCAGAGTTGGCCTCACGGCAGCTGAGAAGCGTCAAGCGAGGTCAGGCGGTTGTTTTTGCTTGACGTGAATGCAGGCTCAGATCGGTGGACACATGCACCTCAACTCATTGTAATAGAAGCACACGAGAATCTCCCCGCGTCTCTACGCCAGTAGACCCAGAAGCTTGCCTTTATCCAAAACATCTCGCAGTTACAAAAAAAACACGATGTGAGGTGCTTAAGATCCGGGGCTCGGACCAGAGACGGGTAGCACGTGAGCAAACCAAGCCGAGGCAGTAGTTGAGGACGATGCCCAGAGGAAAGGCCTCGCAATGTGAATTTCAATTCTGCTCTTGCTTTCTGTGTCAAAGCACTTGCCTCGATGAACGGAGCTCCGTCAGGCTTCACCTTTCTAAAAGCCGCACAGGATGCAGGCTGCGCGAAGTAGCGCGAATAGGCAGGCCGAGCGGTCACGAATCTATAGCCAAGCGATTCATAGACTTGCCACGGCTATCACTCACAACTCTGAGACATCCACATTGTTTCTCGTAAAGCAGTTGGGCCAAGTCTCGGCGCAATCGAACATTCGCCAAACATGCACTTAAGGCTCGAACATGATCCACCTTCGTTGCAAAGCTCGGCTACTGAACATGCACCGCAAACCGAAAACCCTGAGTGAGCGGCGATTTGACCCAAGGCCTTCTCGACATGCCTCAGCCATTTGATGCTTCTAAAGCGGGTGTTGGTTTCGAAATTAGGGTTTGGGGTTTAAGAGCGCGTCATGAGCTGAGCTTTGTCCGGGGACCGCAGAACAAACACCCAGCCGCTGAGAGTCCGGACTCGAACCTGATTTGTCCTTCTTCTGGGAGATCGATTGCTCGGTCCTGCAGGCGTGGGGCCAGCGATGTCCACCTTACCCTGAAGAGTCACTGATGACATCTGACAAGCTTGCACTGCTTGCTTCTTCACAGAATGCACTCGCAGTCCGACTCCACATAATGTCCAAGCCAAGGCGGTCTGAAATGCATGCCGACACTTTTCTGCATGAAGAGCGGAGCTCGTTCGCATGCAAGTCTGTGTACTGCTGGTTCAGCTTTCGGACATGACAAATATGAAAATGTCCAATGTCCCGCATTTCCAGCAACTATATACATGGCAACCTCTCGCAAGGTCGACGTTGTAGCCAGCATCTGTACGCCGCATCTTCGCGACTTAAAGCCAAGTACCGCTGTTCCAACAATGCCTATCAGAGGTCCTGGGCAGGCAGTGCAGAGGGGGAGAGCTGCGTGGTTGCGGCACAGAGTGGGTGACTGCTAGACAGATCTGTGATCTTCAAAATCACAAGAATGACCTCAAGCAACCCCAGAAAGAACAGTAAGCACCTATGTTGCCGAATGCACACTTCCGACAGCAAATCGGTCTTACTTCCAATTTCGCTTCTGCGCCGCGCCCAGGCCCGAACTCTGGTATGGCTAAACAATGATGCGAACTCAAGAAAATGCAGGCGACGCTCCTCGTCCTCTTCGAACTCCTCCTCGTTGGGATCGGCGCCAGGCTTGTCAAAGGGCATGATGGGAACTGACTGGTCCTTTTCCATGGATATCGAACACTCGCACACATTCTTGAGGCGTCCGTTCACCTCCAGGCAGATCGAAACACAGCGGGACTGGACTTATGGGACTCCCTCCATTTGCCATCTGGAACCGAGTAAAGCCCAACCCGACACATTCCAACACCCTCTAGTGGTCAACTGCACTCTACATTGGCTTCAAGCATTCAACCACACATCAATGCCTCTTCGTGACGGAATTTGAGGATTGGAAACTGCGGCTTGTCGCATTTGTGCGACCTCCCCTTGTCATTCCAGCATGGATGAGATCGGCATACACATTCATCTTTGGCGTCGTCATAATCCAGAACGGGATGAGCAGGGTCCAAGCATCGATGCCCGGCACAAAGGTCCCGGGAGATATATAAGGACGAATAGTGAGGAAAGCTGCTGCACTCGCACTGCAGCTCCTTCTTTTCGTTATAGAAGAAGGCTAGGTAGGGAAATCCGCTCTGGCCTCTGCCTTGGCTGACATGACCCAAGTTGCTAAGCTCGGTTCACTTTGAAGCCGTGTGGCATGTGTGGAGCTGCCCATTGTCATCCCAGCAAGGATGCGATCGGCAAACACACTCACGAGTGTCCTGGCCATGGCTGCAACATACAATGCTGGCCAGTATTAGCCGCAGGGTCAGCACGTCAGCCGCGATCAGCAGCCCCGAAAGCCCGGGCGTGTGCAGCGGAAGAGCCCCGGGTTCAGCACGACAAGGTTCATGACAAGACAAACCGCTGAAGGATGGTGGACGCAGACATAAGGAGCACTCTTTCTGATCAGCGGATCTATGTCGGACATGTCCAGAACCAGAAGAACCACCAATAACTTGAACAGACGATGATAGCTGGATCCGATTGCCATGATTCGTTTGCTGCCTTCGCCTGGCTCCTGCCCGAGCACAGTTCCTGGCTTGGCTCTGGTATCGCAGGGACTGTCGGACAGCTGATGCAGTGGGTGACCGCGCTTGGCGCACATCCAGTGTACCCGTTGAAGAGTCTGAAGGTGCCGTTCATACAGATTATTGAAAAAAAGAGGAGCAATGCGCTTCAAAGAGAGCAGAGAGATAGATTGACAAAGAGAAGAAATGGAGGACGAAGAGCCATCACATCGAATGGGACTAGAAAATTTGCGAAACAGGAGCAAACTGCACGAAACAGACTGGAGAATCTGACACAGATGAGACTTCGAGAAGCAGGGCAAGCCAGTCGAAAGAGATCCGCTACAAAGATAACAGGAGCAGGAGGAGCAGGAGGAGAGTCTCAGAAAGAGAAGAAGCAAACCAGTCGAAAAGGAGAAGAAACTTGGGAAACTGGCGCAAGCCCGCGAGAAAGAGACTAGAGTTTGACAACGAGGAGGATATCGGAAAATTAGTATCCCGTCGAAAGGAACTGAGAAAATTGATAAACGGTAGCGAACCACTCGAAAGAGTCCAGAGCAGTTGACTGTAGGAGTTTTTGTCAATATGAAAGAGACTGCAAAAATCTCGCGCTGTGGACCACTGAAGGCGCTTTCGGCGATTGTCTCTCCTTGTTTCCTTTCAGGACAGGTCGAGTGGCCAATGCCGGGGGCTTGTAGTCAGAGTCTTCGACGCTTGCCTCCCCTCCGCTATGCTTTGCGAAGTGAGGTGGGGCAGCACTTGGATGAGGTCCGCTTACCACTAGTCCGAAGACGTATAAAGAGCTGTGAGCAGATGACCTCCTCATGCCCACGAAGTAATTCTTGCTGATCACTCACTGCATTTCCGCGCAGGTGTGTGGATTGAAGCCGGAGGTGGGATATGCTCTTGGGCGGTATTGCATTACGAACAATTCATGGGCGCTTCGCCGGAGGCTCACGGTTTTTGCGGGGCAACTCCACGGCGGCGGGCTTTGAAATCGTGGGCTTTGCTACTGATACATCATGTAGCATGCAAAGCTGCAAGATGCACCTGATCGAAGTCCAGCAGAGGATGGCTCATCTCGTTGCATGTCTCCGATGGACACAGGGCGGCCAGATACTCGGAGCTAGCCGAGGCCGAGCCTACCTTAGATGCCAGGGCTGTGCGGCGCAGCGGCTGCTCAACGACAAACCGACCGAACGAACAGAGCTTAAGGATCTCGCGGAGGATGCCCGGAAAGCAAGCAGGTTAAAAACGTTGAAAACGCTGGGTCGCGCTCAGGGCAAGCTTGTATGAACTGGGACTACCAGTCACAAAGCACAAAGAGGGATCGGCGGGCCCATGCTTATGACGAGCCAGCTCCCAGAAGATGCACCATGCTAAGTATTGCAAGTAACACTGCCTCCAGCACGGGGGACCACTGAGATCTTGTAATACATAAGCAGGCTCGCAAGATATGCGAATAACCATAGTGAGAATGCCATCTCCCTACTTGCTGAGCCCTAAACAAGTCAAGTTTCTCTGCCATGCGCGAGAGAAACACTCTCAGCCAAAGCTTTATGACAGAGTTGGGCCAGAAGCTATGCGGGGGTCCACTCGGGATGTGTCAGAACCATGCACTTGTCTGCACTGATGAAGAAGTCATTGCTGGCAAATGCTGGCAACCCAGACCAACATGCGCTCCCAGCTGAAGGCAGGAAAGCCACCCATAGTGCTGCCAGAAGGGCTTCACCTTTGCTGCATCGGGAGTAGCATTACGTGGATTCCACGACAGTGACTAAGGCAAGTTGCGGCCAATTTTGCAGCGCATACCCCACCAGCTCCGCTGCTCGCAAAGCAACTACTAACTACTGTACTTGAGCCACAAAAGGACACCATGGCAGAGCCAGGCATGTTCACGGAAGGAATTCAGCAAGATGCTGACGCTGAAAGAAGCTCTGACAAGCCCTTTGGATGCTGATAGCCCTGCTGAAACCACACCACAAGGGTCCTCTGCACGCGAATAGCGGCCTTGCCCACCGTGGAAGGTCTCGAGCAGACAGTAATCCTCTAGCCGTGGCCGTGATCGTGGTGAGGTTCCACCGTTGAGCGTTGAAGGCTTCCCGATTCCCAGGCTTTCCCAGGGCCTCCCGGCACTGCTCCAGCAACTCCTCCCGTTTCGACTTCAGAGCCTCGTTGAGGGGCTTTGGGCCACTGTCGCTTTGCCAAAGCGGACGCAGAGTTGCCTCAGCTCCAAGCCTGCACCTGCTCTTTGCTGCACTTCTGGCCCACCACACCGTGAAGCTCCTCACGGATTCACGCTACGGCAGAAAAGCGAACAGAAAGGGTAGCCGCAAGGAACTGAGCACGCTGCGCCGCAGCCAGGCAAAAAGACCAATTTCAACTCAATCTCTGCTTCTGCCGGCTGCTCCTACGATGGAAACAAATACAACTACCCAATGGAGTGCAAGAAGCAAAGAGGCATGGGGATGGGACGCAAGGCCTTGTGTTTCTTCTGCTTCTTTTTTTGCTTTTTCTGGCTGCGAGACTCCTTCTGCTGCGGGAACACCTCGGGCGGGGCGGTCAGGAAGCCATCGACGATAGGCCGACAGGCACACTGCGACCATGCTGCCTGCCTCGACGCCACTGAGAGAATCATGAAGCTCGACCCGCAAAGGAGCCCATGCCTAGTGCTGAAAGGCAGCGTTAAGCGCACTACTTGTATATGGCATCCAGTCCTTGTGCCGGGTGTTTCGCCGTGTCAGATGCGTCAGTTCTCTCAGCTGTTGTACGGATTGACGTGTCGTTTCACTTGGCCATTGCATTGAGGGCACCTTGATGATTATACACCTTGTCTGCCAGCCAGCCAGCCAGCCAGGCAGGCAGGCAGGCAGGCTCTTGAGTTTGTCATTCATTCACTCGCTCCTTTGCACGTTCGTTCCTTCGTTCCTTCGGTCCTTCGTTCGTTCTCGTTACATCGGTTGGTATGTAGGTATACAAACACAGAGACAGAGAAACACACCAGTAATCTCTCCACGCCCTTGGGCACACACTCCAACTAACGTCCGCAAACAATTGACGACATCTTGTCGATCCCACTGTACCTGAAGGCATACACTGTCCCTGGCAGGCACATTGACGTGAGCACCGTAGGCAGCTTGCCAAAGGACAAGCAGGTCGCACTGGCGCAGTCGGAAGCGGACGTCGGTCACGCAGAGCTTCGAAAACCTTCAGATTTCAGGATGACTCTCTGATCTGATGTTGCTGAATTCGCTGGCTTGACACAAGCCTGGCCCAAGTAGCCCTCAGCCTGCAGACTTTTGCCTGGAGGCCGGCAGGCGAGGGGCGGCAAAGCATGGCAAAGCAGATGCAAAGCAGTCTGCCAGGCTTGATTAGGAGGCCCGTTGCAAGGCTCCTTGGGTTTGGGGGCATTTGGGTGCAAGTCTTCAGTCGGTTCTGGCCTACAGCCTGCTCGGCTTTCACTCTGATGTTGTAGTCGGTTTGAGATCTTTCATGTAAGGGATGGCCTGAGTGGATATCGCAGCTGCTATCTGCTATCGCAGAGGGGCTTGCAACCTACAGTAGTAGCCGGGTCAGAAGGCTTCCTACAAGACCTGTCTGCCCACAGGGATTTCGGGGTGCTACCACTGCGACTACTACCACTTGCACCACAACCTCTCAATCAGCTCTTCGCCTCCTCCGTCTGGTCTCTCCACAGTTTCATCCTGTCTTGCGTCATCTCTTCACGCACATTTCGATTAGGCCGCCCCGCGTGCCTCCTGCTCCGCGGTGTGGACGGTGACGGCGGCCAGGTCTCGGGCATTGAGGCCCGGGGCCAAGGCCCGCGCCAGAGCTCGGAAGACGTCCTCCCGCTCCTTGTGGAGCTCTCCATGCATAGCCTCGGCCTTCTTCAACTCGGCTGCACGGCGAGACATGCCAGCCTGCATGCGAACTTCGAAGCTGACATCGAGAGGCAGAGGCAGAGGGTCTCACCTCAGGCTTGGCCAAGTATCGCAGCTCATCCTCAAGGACCTCTCAGCCAGAGGTGCAGCCACCCACGACCACTACGGCTTTCGTGTCACATGTACTTCCACCAGGTCTTTCGGCCATCCGACGTTGCACTCGAAGCCGACAAAGCGGGCAGCAGCTTTGTCTGCCTATGTACAGCTTCACTCGGGCTGAGCCGCGTGGTCCCGAACCTGTTTCCACACCTGACACTTTCTGAGGCAACCCCCTGCCTGCTGATGCAGCGTGCCCCCGGCCTTGAGAAAGGCTTCGAAGTAGCCGATCTCCGTATACGGCAAACCCAACCTAAAACGAGAGGTCATTGTACAGAAACATCAGAAACCGTCGAAAGCTTGCTCAAAAAACGCTCCGAAGAACAACTTCAAGATTTGCAAAAAAGTCCTGTTGGGAGCAGAGGAACTCTCGACAGGTTGCCTTCACCGTGCGCGAAGCTTCCTGCAGCTGGACGAAACTCATGGCCGGCCAAAGGTGGTGCTCCACCTTCCACCAGTTTAGCACATGCCAGCGGACCAGAAGAAAGGGTTCTCAGAGCGGACGGCAGAGCCTGCAAGCTGTCACCATGAAACCTGAGGTTGAGAGGCCCAATGAAACCCGGCGAGTCTGGCGCTGCAAGTCCGTCTGAGATTCGGGCATAAGGAAATCGAGGAGACGTGCAGCTGCGCTCGTGAAGCGAAGGTTAGCAGTCGTCGAAAGCTGCTGCAGCACGAAGTCCTGGTGCATCTGCTGCGCACAGTCACAGTCAAAGCGGTTCTGAACAAGTAACTTCCAGCAACCAGCATCTGCCTCGTGACTGGGCGCATCTGGCCTCGGACACAGCAGTCACGGTAGTAAATCACCCTGTTGAGAATCTGTTTGACGAGACAGTGTGTGTTCTAAGCCTCTTGCATCAGGAAGTGCTGAACCTGCGGAAGATTTGGAGTGCAGATACCCAGGAAGGCGATTGCACTGTGACCGCATAAAAATTGAACTTTCTAAAGCTGTCTCGGCACCTCAGCAAACGGAAGAAGGACCAGTTTGGCCACTGCTCTGCTGAGGAGCAACGCGGCCAACGCGTGCCAGAAGGGCCTCGCCAAGCGGCAGCATTTACGGTGCCTGCTGTCTTGAACCGAGCCGGCGGCTGAAAGAGGAATGAAGCACCCTGGTAGCCCGGGCTGAGGAGAGCCTCTCTGCGAGCTCCGGAGAGATGTTACGTTGAAGCCCCGTTCGTTGCCTCCGCCCACCAGGAGGCCACATCCTTGCAACGCTCCAAGAGCTTTGCCTTGCTGGCGGGTGGCTCGAGGACCTGATGAAGAGCGGAAAATTTGGCGAAGGCTTGCAAGGAACCTTCAGCTACCTGGGAGGCGCCGTTCATGCAAGTGGACAGCATGGTGAATATCTCCTTAGGAATCAGCCGTGCTACAAGCTGCAGTGTGAAGGCTGTTGAGAGAATGCTGCTGAGCTTCAGAGACTGGCTCCAAGATACACCGGATCGGAAGCCAATAGAAGGTCTGCCAGCTCAGCAAAGTGGGAAAGTACTAAGTACACTGCCAGCACGGCTAGAATGGCTAGAAGATCAGATCAGGCTCAAGAATTACAAGCGATCCTGCCAGGCGTTGTACGGCTGCCAAGGATTGCACGCATGGCGCCGAACCCAGTTGCGGCCGACGGCAAAAACGGTCCAGTCAGGATCTTGTCGGAAATTGTTGGTGTGCAAGTGGTGTTGCATATGTTGCGACATCGCGGGTGGATGTCCTCCGTGAGAGCAGCAGTACATGCGTGAGCGAAATGTGACTGCATAACATGCCAGTCCTTGGTAGTGGTCCAGCATGTGGTGACAGAGCACTGCATAAACACGAAGCAGCTGATGATGCAGCCACGGAGAATACCTGAAGTCGCCGTGGACTGCCTTGGAAGCCCCAAGCACGAAGTGATTTCGAAAGAAAACTAAAGAGAACATAGAGCTCAGGCTGCGGCGCTATGCAAAGCAGCGTCTAAATGCCTCCACCAAAACCAACTGCACAGTACGTTCAGCCAAAACCACCCTCAGTTTCAGGAAGCTTACTTCATGAGATGGCCAAGGCTATGGTTGAAGGAGCGATCGTGACGGCGCATCAAAGCAACTTTCGCCGAGGAGCCCTCCACGTATGTAAGGAAAGCCCAGAAGCAGAAAAGCAGCAGCATTGAAACAGCTGTCGCCTGCACAGGAAGAGTCGATCGGCAGTGGCTTGTTTACTTCTGCTTGTCATGCAGGCCTCTGCCACAGGAATCATTGGCTTCTTCAGGAGATGTGACACTCTCTTGTTGAGCTCGGCCCGAAACCCAATATCTCCTTCCTGTCAATGAAAAAATGGAGAAGAGTCGGCAGAATGCACAAAGCTTGACATCCTCATCCTGGCCTGAAGGCGTTTGCGGGGTCTCTGTGTGGAGAAATGTCCGACAAAACACTTCTCGAGCGCGACTTCTGCGGCTTTCGATGCATGATGAGCTCGGAAGAGGTCAGTAGCTTCCTGACCTACGGCCGACCAAATCAGACGTCCCCCAGGATGAGCTGGAATGAATCCGTCAATGGCCTCAAACTTTGCAGCCGACATTCAAGCACTTTCCCGGGATGCTGAGTGCAGCCAAAAGGGCAAGCACTTTGCCGTCGATTATGGTCCAATCAAAGTCTGCATCTGCCAGATCTTCAGCCGTCCAAACAGGCGAGACTGCAGCATCCGGCTGCCTGCAGGCAGATGCAACGCCGACCTAGCACGCTGCTCTATTTCTGTGCAGGGCTTCCACCTCGACACGAGTTGAGATGAACAGGAACGATCCAGCTCGGTGGTCCTAGCATGTCACATAGAAGACAGACATCCTGCCGATCACGTGAACCCATCCAAGAGAAGCCTACCTACTCATGCTGCTGCTGCGGTGTCCTAGGCCGCTTTCTCGGCTGGATACTCATGTGCTCAAGCGAGCTTGACATGCGGGATGACTTAGACTCGGTTGTCTTAAACCGTGTCAGGTTGCATGCTGACAGTCTGTGGCAACTGCCAAATGTTCGAGGAAGACTCTCTCGTATCCCGCTTCCTGTGTGATACTGAGTCTGATACTGTGAAGCAGAACGCTTTGCGGCGAGGTCGCAAACTACTCTCTGCGGCAACAGCAGACAGGAGTTCATTGTGCTTCGTGCATCTCTGCTGATCCGGCTGGTGCGAGGGCCGAGGGCCGAACCAGTTTCTGAGTTTTCGTGGCATGACGCCAGAGCTCCTCGTTTTCTTGGAGGCGTCGAAGCCACGCCAACACGCCTCTGCCAGGGACCTGCCTCGAGGGTCTCCACAGTCGCAGTACTATCGTCGCTGACTAAGCGGTAGATGCCTCGGAAGGCCCGCTTCAGGGCTTCCGAGGGCCAAAAACATGATCGAGGCCGTCAGAAGCTTTGAAGCTGAGATGAAGGCTCTCCCGTAGTTTGGAGGCCTCCGTCTGAAGGCCTATCCGTGTCCACCCAGCGTATTCAGACAGCCTATACTTTGACCGGGGCAAGTCTTCCTTTCTCCATGAGCCGTCAACATGTAGTTTGGGTATGGAGCGTGCACTCGCTGCATCACGCTCCTCCCCACGGTCAAGATGTGAGGAACACGAGTACGTTAACAGAACAATGGGGCCCAAATACTTCCAGGACCTTGCGACAGCCTTGGGCTTTGTCCATAGCTTGGGGCCCTCCATAACTTGAAGGGCTCGGCTTTGGAGTCCCTTCTCAGCTTCTTCGCGGAGTTCTCGTCGACCTGAGCCAGTCGCTAGATTTGCAATTCGAGTGTCCAAGCCTGTTGAGGGACGTGCTTCAGAAATTCTTGCTCCTCGTGTTTATCATGCGACGTTGCCACCGCAGCACTTCGAAACCTGCTTCCGTACCCAGTCATGGCCTGAGTAACCGATTTCCTGCTGACACACTCTGCTACATCTGTGCAAGTGCTGCAAGCACATCGTGAATAGCTCAATTCGTCCAGTCAGTTGGTATTCACGTGTAAAGGTGCACGATATTGATGGCGAGGCAAGCAAACAACCACGAAGCCTGAGTATGTCCGAATCGAAGTCTATGCTGCCCTTTCTATCAGACCTGCTTGTAGGAGATGCGAAAGATAGGGTAGGGCTCAGGCAATCAGTGACGCGCGGGACCTGCACAGCCAGACGAGACTGCATCTCAAGCTACACTAGTCCGAGGAAGCATTCTCTTCTTCGTATCAATACTGATAAGAAGATCCATCTCCTACTATACTACTATACTATACAGTACTGTACTATGTTATGCTACGCTATACCATACTATACTACGAAACTATACATACCATACCAGACTCTACTATACTTTACAAGACACTCCTGTACCATGTTAGACTAACATGATGATGTTACATACTATATGTTATACGATTCTAGAATAATATAATCGAATAGAGTGGAATAGAATAGAATAGAATTCATCTGCAACGGGCCTGGCGGCGACGGCCAATCTCTGGCCATGTGCAGCTGCGCCCGAGCTTCTACCAAGTCAAACTCGAGCTGCCTCATCCTGCGAAGCAGAGCTGCCAGTCGAAACAAAGCCCATTGGACAGCATGGCATGTCTTTTTCTGCAACTTCAAAGTCTTGCTATTTAGACCCCTGGGTCCTGGACATCTCCACTTCAGGCGCAGGCGCAGCAGTGCGAGAGGAACCCGGACCCTTGAAGCATGAGCAGCAGTCTGCGACTGCGGCGCTGAACCTGGCAGCAGTATGCAGATGTATGCAGAAATACTGTCGGCATGCCGTCGAGGAAACGTGGGCGTCGACATTGGTCGGTCTCGCGTTTGCCCGATCTGCAGATGAACCGAGCTGCCGATGAATGATGATCGCTGCAGAGAGCAGTATCAAGGCGACCCAAGGAAGGTTGTGCTGAAGGTAATCCTTCCACCTTGGTCAAAGCAGCTCATCAGCTGATGCTGCACACTCACAGCGTTCTGAAGCTGGCCTTGCTTGCCTTTCGTCGAAGGTGCGCCTTTCTGCTTCCTGCGCCTGTTTATAGGACGGCTCAGTAAGCCAACTACGAAATTGATGTCGTGCTTTCAATCTTCATCGCACTCCAGCCCGGAATTCCAAGACCGCACTGGAAGGGCGGTAGAGATGTGTCCGACGCCTTTCGTCTTGCTTCATCGGCCTGGTTCAAACACGACAGTGGGACTGATTATCTGCGAACTCGTGAAGCCATGCGGAGTTGCTGCTGTGCCGCATCGGCCTGCTGTCTTGCTGCGCTTGCCTGATGTCTTGCTGCATCTGCCTGATTCGGAAAGCCAGTGGCCAGATTGCAGTAGAACTTGGGCATGCAAAGACATGCGGGCCCTGTTCAATATTAGTGTTCCTGGAGTTGACCTAAATGCGGCAGTAGTTGCGTGACGCCTCGTTTGGAAGAGAGAAACGATACCA